AAAGGGTCGCAGCCGAGCCCCTGAGGCAGAAGCTGAGGTCGGGTCGCTCCGGGGCATGCGGCTGGAGCTAGTTCCTTATTCCCGGGGACAGAAAACCAGCTTCAGCCGCCGTCCTGTCTGCGGGGTCGTGACTGGCCCTTCCCTAAAGCCAAGGACAAGGCACGCGTGGCCCAGCCCTGGGGCGAAATCCCCCTCGGGACACGCCACGCCCCGGGCTCTGCGAAGGGGGAGTGTGCTGGAGCCGCCTGGGCAGGACGCGACAAGACACAAAACTCGGGGTCCAGTGTTATTCTGCCAAGTGGCCCGCACACATCTTGTGCTCGCGCGCTGTGTACGTAGCGCTGAATACGGAGCTGAGGTCGGCATGGGATTGTCAGGTAAAAGCTGCCTCAGGTCACCCCAAACCACGAGTGACTGGTGCCTCCAGAGACCAGGCAGGGGGGGTGATACTATTTGTAGGCGGCGGGGGGCGGGGAGCGCCCACAGGCACTGCTGCCGGGGGCAGGGGCTTTTTCCTCTGTCCTCTTGATACAAAACATGACGCCTTTATGTCCTCTATGTTTCTTTTCAAGAGAAAAATAGAGGACATAAAGGCTTCTGGTTTCGTAACAATAGAGGACAGAGGACAACCGGACTGTCCTCTACGATGGCCACCTTATGTGGTGAGCAGGAACTGCCCGCAGACGCCGCCACCGCCAGTATCAGCGGTGGGGGGGAGGGGGGCGATCGGCGACCGCCTGCAGAAGCTGGGGGCGACTTTGGTGGCAGCCAAGCTTGGGGGAGGGCATGTGCCCCAAATCGTCCATGCCTTTGGGGGACTCTCCTGAGGGCATCTGGACAGAAGGCTGCCCAACCTGAAGCTTGGTTTTTGAGAGTCCTGCTGCCAAGCACCTACTTTGTACTCCTTTAAGAAATGTTTGGACGCTTATCTTGCTGGGATCCTTTGACCCTAGCTGACTTCCTGCCCTTGGGGTCAGGGGGCTGGACTCAGTGATCTCCCGAAGTCCCTTCCAGCCCTAATGTCTATGAATCTATGAAATGGCATCCACCCCAGGCCTGTGCTATGCACATAACAGCAAGTAAGGAGTTGAAGTTGATGTGAGATCATAGTCTTGGGGCAAAATCTGCCTCAGGTCACCCCAAACCACATGTCCGTATGACCGGGGGACTCTCCTGAGGAAGCCTGGGCTGGGCGCTGCCAGACCTGAAGCTGGTTCCTGGTTCTTATTCCCCGTTCCCAGTTCCTTTTTCAAAGTTACTCTTTACACAATTGGAGTTGTTAGCAGTGACTTCAACATGCCAGAGTTAGATATTTCATCAAAAATGTATATTTGTTAATAAAAATGTAATATTAGATTGCATATCAAGTACATTGCCCTGAATAAAGAGCTGAGTTTAGGATGGGCAAACTCTACTTCAGGTCACCCCAATCTCACACCTCTATGACTAAGAGGCTCTCCTGGATAAACCTAGGCAGCAGCTAAACATCAGTTTTCGAGAGCCATCCCACCAAATGACAGCCTCCAGGCCTGTATGCTATGTACGGACAGTCCTCAGACTTATGACACAATTGTTTCCTGAAAAATGCATCTTAAGTCAAAACGTTGTAACGCAGAACCAATTTTCTCATTAGAAACAATGTTATAAATGGGGCTTTGGTTCCTGAACCAAGGCCCGATACCCTATTTTCACCAAAAATACCCCAGAATGTTGTACTCAATCAATTATAGATGAGTAATATAGCTACATTAATGTATTTATATTGTAAATAGCAATCATTTTGATTTGGAAGGACTTCTTTGAGGTGACTTTGCTGGACTTTTTGAAGGGTTCTTGACTGGAATCTTCTCAGGAGTCTTGGCTGCAGGTTTTTCTGGAGTCTTGTCTGCTTTCTTAAGGAAAGTGTACAAGGAAGTTTGGACAGATGTTCTTCAGGGAGATGAGCGATGCAGCGAACTTGTTCGCTGGCGTGTCGTAGCATTGGATCAAACGTTGTAAGTTGAAACTGAGGTCATAAAGTTGAAACAGGGTGTCAATTTATAAACGTTGTGTGCGCGAAACGTTGTAACGTGAAACGTTGTAAATCGAGGACTCCCTGTACCTAGCACTGAATAAGGATCTGAGTTTGTGTTGGGATTATGGGGCAAAATCTACCAGGTGTATCCCAAATCACAGATCTCTATGATAGGGGGACTATCCCGAAGAAGCCTAGAAGTATATGGCACTGAATAAGGAGCTGAGTTGGTTCATTGTCTTTGTTGTCTTTTCTCAGAAACCATCTTCTGAGGCAGAAATTTTGACCAATATGAGGGATTTTGGATAAGCACCTATCATGTCTTTACACAATGACTGTGACTGTATCTATTTGGAATTATGTTCCTCTACTATGTGCAGGTACAGTTTTAAGGTAAAATGTACTTAATTTTAAGTAAATGTAAATGTATTTTAAAGTAAATTTATTGTTAAGTAAATTTACTTAAATAATTTAAATGTATTTAAATGTAATGGTTTGGATCTTTTGGGTTAGAGCATGTGGAGCACTGCACTGTTCTAGAGAGCAGAGGTGTCAAAGGTATGATTCACAGGCCAGATGTAGCAGCTTTTGCCTGATAATCCCAGCCCATATTCAGCTGAATAAGGAGCTGGAATTATCAGGCAAAAGCTACTACATCTGGCCTGTGAATCATATCTTTGGCACCTCTGCTCTCTAGAACAGTGCAGTGCTCCACATGCTCTAACCCAAAAGATCCAAACCATTACATTTAAATACATTTAAATTATTTAAGTAAATTTACTTAACAATAAATTCAGCTGGGGTGGGGCATGTCAGTTGGCGAGATGGCACTAGAAAACTGAGCTTTGGGTCAGGCAGCGGCTCTACCCATGTTCTTCAGGAGAGCCCCCTAGTGATGGAGATATGTGGTTTGGGGTGACCTGAGGCTGATTTTGCCTGACAATCCCATCCCAACCCTGGCTCCTTATTCAACGCTATGTACATAGCACACAGGCCTGGGTGGCTGTCAGTTAACAGAATGGCACTCAAAAACTGAGCTTTGGGTCAGGCAGCACCCTACCTAGGCTTATTCAAAGGAGTCTCTTGGTCATAGAGATGTGTGATTTATGGTGACCTTAAGTGGATTTTTCCTCACAATCCCATCCTAAACTCAGCTTCTTATTCAGGACAATGTACTTGATATGTGATATAATATTTATTAATTTCTTAGTAGAAAATATACATCTTTTGATGAAATCTCTAACTCTGGCATGTTGAATTCATTACTAACAACCTTTACTTGTGTAAAGAGTAACTTTGAAAAAACAACCCTGGAAACAAGGAATAAGGAAGAACCAGGAAGCAGAAGCAAGAAACTGGGAATAAGGAAAGTACTTCAGCCTCATCTTCAGCACTGGAGAGCCAAAATCCTTATTGACTTTGCAGTGGAAATTGGACTCTGAGTGTAAAGGTAACAGCCAGGAAGGACGTGTCAGAGATTCTTATCAAAGCATGGAAACAGACATTGCCTGATGTCTCATTTGTGCTGCAATAAAAAAATCAGTGGCACAATGAAAGATAGTAATAAAATTGCCACTTTATTGCAGTGGACATCTATTGGGTCTGTGGCAGGAGAGTACAGGAAGGCAGAGCTGTTTGCACTCTCCAGCCACTTGGTGCAGGTGCCCTTCATGTCTCCAGACTACCATCCTGGCTTCCCCCACTTACAGAGAGGCATCCCACAAATCTCAGGGCACCTTTCCAGAAGTGAGGAAGCCAGGGTGACCTTCTCAGTCAGACCTATCCTCTGCGATTGCAGGAGTGAGTCTGGATGAGAGGAGAAAGCTGATTGCGGGGGATGAGTCTGGCTGTCAGAGAAAGCAAAACCACTCTGCAATCACATCACCCCTTCTCCCGCACCATCAAGGACAAGACAATGGGTGATGTTGTGTTGTTTTCAGTGAAGACATATTGCAACACAGCTGATCTGCTTCATTCAACATTGTCTGCTTCTAGCCTAAATGCAGCACTTTCTTTTCCCTTCCCCTGCTGTTCAGTGCGCTCTATATGCTAGTAGCCATCCATCACCGCAGCAGAGACTAAGAAAGCAGCAGCACTTGTATGGAGTCCCTTCAGCTGAGAGGTGTTCCAGATGTGTGTCACAAGACATGACAAAAAAGCCTCTTGGGTGACAATTATCTTAAGCCTGTTGCTGAAACAGGCATTTTAAATTCAGCGAACAGGATGAAATATTTAATCTGCATCTACTTCCTTTCGTTCTGCTCAAAGGTACAATTTGAGCCATATAACTGTGTTGTTTGATTTTGTTACTGTGTTACCTCGCCATGTTCCTGCAGCACATTACATATATGAGACACAGGACAATGTATCAATTCCCTCTGTTATTTTTTAATAAAGCAATCATAGTTTAAGTCAGGAACCTGCACAATGAAATTGTGTATAGGCATAAGGTTAAGCACCCATCTAAATTTTTAACTGGATAATACCTGGAAGAAAATGTCTTCCTTGTGTTCAAGCCAAATTCAGTTCCAGTGTCAGCAGGTGCAGCTTTGTAGTCTTTACTGACCCTGTTCCTACTATATCGGAATATGATTGTGTTAATTTTAAAAATGCAAATGACAGAGGGAAGGTACTTATTGTTTAAAAGAAATATGTGGTAATAAATGGGTTAGGGAGAATAAGACAATACTTTATTTTACTTCTTTGGGAATTCAGGTTTCTTGTCTCATAAATAAAATTTATGTTTCATAGAGAAAGTTTTTCCTCCTGACAGTTGCAAAGCATGTGCTCACACATGTGCATGCCCACACGTGCACACACACAAAATTGAAGTTATCAGATTTGTTTTGCAGTCTTCTGTTTTGTTACCTAGGAGTCTGCTGATTAAAAAAAAAAAAGTACAAACTAAGCAAGATATGGGATAAAATCAGTGTGAAACTCCCATTGACCCTAAGAGCAGGTGTTACATGTGCACAACATGACGTGGCGCATCACATTTTTGGCACATACGAAAGAAAGGAAATTCAGAGTCAAGGCTGACATTGAGCCAAGGTCATCTTTAGTGTAATTCCATTGGGAACAAGCAAGTTGCGCTAGGGATGAATTTATCTCTCGATCCTGCAGCCATCCTGTTTATACTTTTATTTCAACACGTGCTATGTATGTCAAAATTGTCTGCAGTACACAGAGATGTTTGCCATAGCTGTAACAAGACAGATGAAGGGAAGGGCCATCAGTGTTAAAAGGATGTTATTTAAATCACATTTCATAACTTTGACAATCTTTTTTTCCTTTGCTTTTGCCTTGACACTGAGCTCTGCTTCCTTAGAGAGACGATTTTTTTCCTAGTGTGGTCTTACGGAATGAGTGCTTGGGATGCATTGCTGGCATTGTCTTTTGTTATCAGGGTCTATTTTGTTAGTAGGAAAAAAAGATCATGCAAAAATGAAAGGAAGAACAACACATGCATGTATAAGTTCATGGTCGAGCCTCCTTTTAAAGCAAACATTTCTTATACCTGGAGTGACCATTCTTGGTCCTACACTTGCCTTGTGATTCCTGTTTCCCTCTGCTCCTGTTTTCAAAAGTTCTTTTTTTGGATATTTTCCAGTGTCAACCTACATGAAAGGATTTGCTCCTCTCCCATGAATGGCAGAGGGAATTTGATACAAGCTTTAATGGATGCAAGCTTGAGTCCAGAGTTAGCAAAGACCAGTCAGACTTTTTAAAAGAATATTCTTCTTTGCTTTTTCCCTAAGTGACTTCTATCACCAGTCATCGCAAAAAGACAAATCATAGCGAGTAAAACTCAGGTACTGACCTTGTTCCTAATTTCATGTTACTAAGGGGCTGATCCGATATTAATGGAAAGTCAGTGGGAGTTTTGCCACCTTGTAGCAGAAGCAACATTTCCTATCTATGCAGTACTGACTTTACCACAAGGACAAAACATGAGTAGCTCAATTTTACATCTCCCTCTACTTAAGCAAGCTAGATTCTGGCTCTTGCTTGGGATACTACAAAATCTAAGCTCAACCCAGGAAGTCTTTGACCGTTGAGAGCACTCAGGAGGCAGTGAACATGATTTTTTCCTGCACTGCACCTGATATAAGCCAGTACACTTGTGAAAATTTGATATCAAGTGCTACCCACTGAAATTCTAACCCCATAGCATTTTGAATCCACACAGCACATATGTAACAGACAGAAAGGGAGGCAACTACAGCACAGCCTTGGCTCAGGAGGGATGGCTTTTCGTCTTTAAAGAAGTGACAATCACTTCCTCTAAGTTTGAGCTTTTTGACAGGGATGATGAAAACTGGAATCCCGCGGGAATCCCTTGAAGGAGAAAATAAAATAATTATAGAAGCAGGTAGGCAAGATGCAGGAGGGAAGCTTGGGCAGCGGATAAGTGAAATGTCTGGACATGCTAATGAGGTTGGTTGAAATCAACTAAAGAAGAAACAAGACAATCTCCTGAACTGCTTTTTTTTCTTGTACATGTATACTCACTCGCAGGAAACTTTTACACGTTTAAAAACAGGAAGTAGGCCACATTAGCAGTGAGCTAGTACTGAAGCACAGCCTTCCTATCTGGATATTCATGGTTCTGCCAAAGAATAGGACAACTCAGGTTTACACTAAACATCAAAAACTCTGAGAAGCCAAGAAGGGAAGAAAAACCTAAAACTCAAGGCAGTTGGAGGGAAAAAAGGAACCAAAAAGTATAAATAAAGGTCTAAATCTGAAAATGACTAGAGTTTTTGTTATTGTTGTTCAGATGTTACAAATCTGGAGATGGCCTGAGATAGTAGTAGCCATGGGACATGCTGTCGTCAGGCTCATCACAAGAAAAGAACAATTGTTCCTGACCTTTTATAGAGCAGCAGGGCCCTAAAGGCAGTTGGTGTCAGAAGTGAAATATTAATTAGGCTGAGGCTTGGTAAACATGGTCACACACAAGCTACACTGTGGCCCTACTCTTTTATGAGTTTTAGAAGACAGCAGAGAAATGAAATTATATTTGGTGAGTGAACTCAGGATCAAGAGAGGGTGATCCAAGGGGAACAGGTCTGGATCAGAGTACTGGAGCGTCACCACCTAACACACTGACTTTAGTCAGAGCTGTTTACAGCCGTTTGCTGCTTCTCTCCTGAAGGTATGCTTGCTTCTTTAAGACTCAATTCCCATATCCAACGTATTGCATTATTTGAACCCCAGAATGCTTCTTGGAAAAGTGTCTCTGAGCACTCCTTATAGTATTTGGTTTTAAGGGAGGGCCATGGGAACCATTAGATTTTGCCAAGGGAGGAGGAATATTAAAGATTCCAATATATGAATGAAACAGGACCTAAAGGGTGGCATATGAATTACATAAATAGATAAATAAACAGATGCACTGCCCAAAACATGAATTACATCACAGAAAGTGAGCCATGCTATGGTCTCCTTCCCCACAAGGATTTCCTGGGTTTCCAGCCCCCTGGCTGCCTCCAGGAGCCTGAGGAGGGAGGGGTGTGCACCATGCGACTCCGCTCTGCCGCAGTGGCTCATTATGGTGGGCAGGCAGGTGGGATAGCTGCTTGGCATGCTTCATTGCACCCCATCCCATGAAGGCCTTGCTACTGATGGCCACATTGCCAGGACTGTGCAGTGCCAACGGTAGGCTGGGCAGGAGGGAATGGATGTAGGGAGGGGGTGGAGGAGTCTGTGCCCTATGCTGCGTGGCATAGTCTGGCTCGGCCCTGGCTGCAGCAGTGTAGAGCAGTGTGGGATGCAGCCTTCCCTCTTCAGGCTCCCCGTGATGGCTGGCAGGCTGGATAGGATCAACTGGCATCTCTCCACTCCTCCCCCCAGCCCTCAACAGCTCACCAATTTTTTTTAAGTGGGCCTGCAACCCAAATAATTGCCTACCCTTGCTGTACCATGTCTCTGGAGCTCCCAGAAACAGCCACTTTCAAGCATGCTGAGTCAACCTGCCCTACTTATACATGTCAATGCCAGAAATGAGCCGGGGAAGCTGCTCCAAGGGTGCTTGAGAGTAGCAGCACGAGATGTCCCCACAATGGTTTTCTTGTCTTAACTTCTGGATTTGGCATGTGCGGGCAGGAGCAGGTGGGCAGAGTGTGCACAGAAGCATCCCTCCCTGGGATCACTGGGCATTGTGTAGATGTACCTTCAGAACAGCTTTCTAAAAAGTAACCGGTCCAAGCAAAATGCTGACAGAATGGATGCAGTAGCAAACTAGGTGATAATCCAAACTCTGAGTTCAAAGAGCAGACGAACAGGTTTTGTCCAAGGTTTATGGAATCCCTTGTGGGCACCCCACATAGATATTGATACCGAGGCCTTCACAAGGTCTTGGAAATGGTATTTGACTTAATTGGTTTGTGGCCATTTAAAAAGGCCATTTATAATGTTGCTCTTGACAGGCAAATGTACTACTGTGTCAGATGCCACCACATAATCTTAGTGCTTCCCACTACCCTCTCCCCTTCCTTTTTGCTGCCTATGTTTTGTCTAATCTTACATGGTAAGCTCTGTTGGGTTTAGACAGTCTTTTGTCAACTTGTAAGCCACATTTTAAGACTGTATAAATAACGATAATAATAACATCTGGGCTGATATGAAGTATGGGACAGACAAGCAAATATAGCCTTTTAAAGATTTGGCATAACATTTATTGTGATTTGGTTGAATCCATTGTCTGCTCCTGTCCTCTGGTAAATGGAGGTTAAATAGGGCAGCTTACGCATCAATAAAACAAGTTATTACATTTTAGCGTTACCTAGGGTAGGGTGGACATATGAAACAGTAACAATAGATTGGCAGATAATTACATGTGAATGGTAAGTTCCTCCTGCCTTCCTAATAGTTAGAATTATTTTTCTGTCTCCACCATCTGTGGGCGGGAGGGGGCCACTGGGCTTGTGGTCACTTGCAGCAGGGAAGTGTGTCACTGCTCATTTCTGTGAACCAGAGAAGGCAATTATATTGTGTAGTGAGTGTCATGGTAACAGACAGCATTTATGCGGTACCTTCCATGTCAGACTTTCAAAATTCTTTGTGCAGATAAGGAAATTATCCCATAAAACATCTTGTGAAATAAAGTAATCATCACCTCTACTTTAGAAATGGAGAAAATGAGGTACAGAGATTTTGAGGTGTAGGAGAAGTCTGTGGGAGGAATGGAATAGAAAAATAGAAATTAGGGTTGAAAGGGACCTCAGGAGGTCATCGAGTCCAACCCCCTGCTCAAAGCAGAACCATCCTCAACTAGATCATCCCAACCAGAGCTTTGTCTAGCCAGGCTTTGAAAACCCCCAAGGATGGAGCTTCCACCTCCTTTCTAGGTAACCTGTTCCAGTGTTTTACTACCCTCCCAGTGAGAAAATTATTTGTAATATCTAACCTAAACTTCCCTTGCTGCAACTTGAGACTGTTGTACTGGAGTACAGTTAATCTGAGTTCTAGACCTCTGCAAGATGTAGATGACGACTCGTTGCCTGTGTGGGATCTTATGTGAGAGATAGTGGTAGGGAACTACCTCATCAGGATAGCCCCAACTGCCCTGAAGGCTAGTATGGCTGTGCGGGCATTAAACACCCAGCTGACCTAGAAAGATAAAAGTAGCCATGACTTGGCTCTCCCTCCCTCTCCCTGTCCCCTTTTGAGTCCATATTCACCCCAGGGTTGCGCACATTAGGGCTGTGTAAAACAGCACCATTCTGCTTTGACTTCCATTTTGATGGAACAGTGCTTCGTTTCAAGTTTCATTTAAAAAGCACTGTTCCGTTTTGTTTTGTCAAAGCTGTTTCGCTGTTTCAACGCTGTTTCGACATTTCCCCCGTAGGCTACAATGGGGAAGCATGAAACTGCTTATAACTTTGTCATTTCTAGCCTGATTCAGATGAAACTTGCAGGGATGGTAGCCCCTTCTGAGCGCACAAAGCCTGACATGTTTCAAAGAGATAGGTGCAGAGGTTTCTGGGAAACTGCACCTCAAGTTGGTGACAAGCGAAACTCCTGTCAGTTGTCGGCAGTAGCAGCCTCCTGTCATCCAGCCCGCAGATCCGGGAGCCCGCACCCCCGAGAGGGCTGCAGGGCTGTGCTGGACTCCTCCTGGGGGTGTGGGCCACCAGTCTGCCTGCTGAATCACAGGAGGTTGCCGCTGCTGCCTAGGACCAGCACTCGGTGCAGCCCACACGCAGCACTGGGAAGACTGGTGCTGCCACTGGCCCCAGGCACCAGAACCAGCCTCCTGTCATCTGGCAGGTAGACTGGGGGCCCGCACCCTCAGGAGGAATCCAGCACAGCCCCGCAGCCCTCCTGGGGGTGTGGGTAGACCCCCGATCTGCCTGCCAGATGACAGAAGGATGCTGCTGCTGGCTGGGACCGGAGTTGGGCGCAGCCCACACCCAGCACCAGGAAGATTGGTACTGCCACTGGCCCCAGCTGGCGGCAGCAGCCTCTTGTCATCCAGAAGGCAGATCAGGGGCCTGCCCATACTGTCAGGAGGGCTGCGGGGGCTGTGCCAGACTCCTCCTAGGGGTTCAGGCCCCCAGTCTGCCTGCCAGATGACAGGAGGCTGGTTCTGCCACCTGGGGCCAGAGGCAACACCAATCTTCCTGGTGCTGCATGTGTACTGTGCCCAGCATTGGTCCCAGGTGGCAGCAGCAGCCTCCTGTGATCCAGCAGGCAGATCGGGGGCCTGCACCCCTGGGAGGAGTCTGGCACAGCCCCACAACCCTCCTGGGGATGCTGGCAGGCCCCCGATCTGCCTGCTGGATGACGGGGTTGCTGTTGCCAGCTGGGACTGGCACTGGGTGCAGCCCACACCCAGCACCAGGAAGATTGGTGCTGCCGCTAGCCCCAGCCAGCAGCGACAGCATGCGGTCATCCAGCGCACAGATCCAGCAGCCCGCACCCCTGGGAGAGCTGAGGGCTGTGTCAAAATCCTCCCGGGGGGGTGCGACCCCCGGATCTGTGCCGGATGACAGGAGGCTGATGCTGCCGGCTGGGACCTGTGCTGAAGCCAAGTAAACCCAGCTTCAAAACTCAAAATGTTTTGAAACTTTCGAAACCTTTTTGAGAACCCTTGTTTTGTTTTCAAGCTGTTTCAGAGGCTTTTGTTTCATTTCCATTTCACTGTTTCGAGCTCAAAATGCATTGAAACAGCTTTGAAAAGAAACACCCAGCGAAATTTCACACAGCCCTAGTGCACATGACCCAGTTCTTGGAGCTGCTGAGCTCCACATGCTGCAGTTTTGCCTGGCTGTTGTGCAATAGTCTGTCCCTTTGCAAACCAGCAACACTGATGTGTGTCAATGAAATCCAACTCCATGGTGCTTTGACATTCTAAAAATAACAGTGTAATTTATTTTCTTCCTCCTTTTTCAGTTTGTGAATGAAAGACATCATGGCCTGCATAGAAGGAACAGTTATAAATCCCTTCTATTGCTCAAAAACCCTTCAAAGAAAATAACTCTCTCATATCAGCCCTTTTACAACATTTTTGTCTAGAGAAAATCATGCTTCTTTTAACATGGTGAGAGTCAGAGATGAACTGACAGCTTCCAAACTGAAGGTGTGATCCATGAGAATTCTGCAAAAACTTGAAACTTTTGCTTAAAGCTCAGGAGCAGTCAGATATAAAAAGGTAAACAAGTGTAGCAAAACCCCCAGTTTTTCTTTTTTAATACATATATGTATATGATAGATATGCATCCCCTTCCCTTCCCCGATTATTTCTGGCTTTTCTTTCTCTCCCTCTCTATTCCCTATAGACAAGCATAAGCAAGCTCAGACTTAGGATAAACTTTAACATTTTTATTTTGGTAGCAAGTTTTTGGTTTTGGATATCCACTGTTTTATATTGTATTATTATTAGGTTTGTATTGGTTTTTACTGTTGTATATTGTATTATTATAATTTTTTTATGGATTTTTATTGTTTCATATGGATATTGTATGGTTTAGGCCTGTGTTTGTAAGTGAACCAAAGTCATGTCAAGTTTCCATTTTGTATGTCCAGTCTCCATCTTGTATCCTCTGCCCTGGCATCCCCTGTGTTGCAACTGTATGAGTCACGTATCCCTCCCATGTAAATTAGTTCCCGGATTAATAAGAGTGATTGGGAATGACTGAAATACAATGGTAGCAGGCCTCTACTGAATGGCCTGAAACAACCAGGCCATCACCTCGCATTGATTCATCCAGGAACCACGAACCTCACCCAGGAACAGAGACAAGAACCCAGCATTTGAAAGACAAAAGACCCTGCAGAACCAGCAACTCTACCATTGTACCCCACCATTACAGACACCCAAAACTGCACATCCCTGCATGGAGCACACATGCTCAGTATGCCAGGGGCTGACCCTTGCCTGGGCATGCCTCCTGTCACTAGGGTCACACAAGGTCTGCCCCTATAAAAAGGGGCAGTGAAGACAGACGCAGTGGGACGCCCCCTCCATCTGGACCAGCACCATGCCACACCACCTATC